CGCCGATGCCGCTCAAGGTGGGAGCTCCAGGCGAAGGCTTTCCCACACACCCCGCACTCGTAGGGCTTCCCACCAAGGTGGCTCTTCTGGTGCCGGTCGAGGGCCCCCGGATCGGCAAAGCTGCGGCCGCATTGGGGGCAGCGGTTGGGTTTCTCCCCACTGGGCGCGTGGGTACGTTGGTGGGTGAGCAAGGAGGAGCTGACACTGAAGCGACGTCCGCAGTCGGGGCAGGCATAGGGCCGCTCACCCGTATGGACCCGCTGGTGGATGGTGAGGTCCGAACGTTGGATGAAGCATTTGCCGCAGTCGGGACATTCATGGGGGCGGTCGCCAGTGTGGATCTTCTGGTGTTTCACCAGGGCTGACTTGTGGCTGAAGCTCTTCCCACACTCGCCGCACATGTTGCTGGGTTGGCTCTCGCCTGGGTGTGTGGGCATCTCCCCCAGACTCCCGCTCTTGCCTGCCTTCGCCCTGGTCTTGGTGGGGCTCGAAGGATGCTCCTCGCCCGCAGGTTTCACCACTTCAGGCTCTTTCTCAGCAGCTTCTTCTCCAGGGGTTTCCTGCTCCGCTCCTGTTCCATCCTCTGTGGGGCACAAAGAGAGACAGACACAACCTGGGCAGGAGACATCATGTCTCCCAGGGCTGGGAAGATGGGAAAGTAGTAGGAAAAGGAAAACAAGGAGGGATTCCTCCACCTTTTTTATTTCACACACTCTTCCAGGTAGGCACCTCTAGAAGAGGCATCTCCAATCCCCATTGCTCCTCTCTGCCACCAACATGGATGTGGTAATTAATCCACCGCCACCAGAAACGCGGCTGTCTGGGAAGGGAGTCCAGCATCTCCATTTTGGCCAGGACATCCCTCTGGCATTACAGTCTCTCCTCCCCACCATCTTCCTTCCATGCCGTGACCAAAGCAGGGCTTGCAGCCTGGGGTACAGCAGCAGCCACGACCATTATGGTGGGGGTTCGGTCATTTTGGTGGGAGGCTGGCAGTGGGGGAAGCCCTCCACACCTGCAGGAGCTGAATCTGGGCTGTTTCCCGTGCTGCGGTGTGATCGGAGGCTCACCTGCGGCTGGGGTGTCCCTGGGCACGTGGAGATCCAGGGCTGTAGGTTCATCCCCGTGGTCCAGGCGGGACAGCAGATCGGGCTTAGAAACGGGGAATTCTGGAAAAGAGAGAGGAGGATGAGCAACGTGGGTCAGGAGGGTCTGCCCTGCCCATCCCCCTGACCCCAGCACCCCTTGGATGAAGACGGATCCCTCTGTCCACCCCAAGTTTTCTGCCACAGGAGGGGTAGGTTCCTCACCCAGCGCCATCAGCGTCTCGTAGCTCTCCTGCATCACGTCACGATACAGCGCTCTCTGACGCGGGTCCAGCAGGACGTACGGCTCCATGGCTGGTGCCACCAGACCCCCTGCAAGGAGGAGGTAACCCCCCATAAGCTGGCATCACCAGCCATCATCCTATAGATTTGCATCCCTCGGTTGGACTCTTCATGCAAACCCCTCTGTATTATTAACCTGGGGATTCTCTAATAATCCAATAGATGATTATTCTCTAATAAGCTAAGAGAAAGGCTGAGACAAATCACAATATGGGTAAAAAGTGTGGTGACAGGCAGCTAATAAAAACCTCCATCCTTTACCCCACCACGTATTTTCCCAAATCTTGCAGGAACTTTATACCCTCTTCCTCTATCAAATATAGCTGAACAATTTTATTTATTATTTTTTTCCTAAAAGTTAATAGAGAGGAGGAAGCAGAAGGGGAAGAACAGAAACAAAGACAGCATGGTTCCATAAAAAAATGAAAAAAGAGATAAAACCCAGCCCATGAAGAACATGTTTCTACAGACAATGCTCTGCTGAGAGATCCTTACACTAAAATTCATTTTCACCCAGATTTAACAGCCAGTTCCTACTGTACCAAACCCTGGGTGCTCATCCACAGGATCCTTCACCCAGAGATTACTGCCCCAAATTTTCCAGGACCCCCCCCCAAAAAAAAAACCACCCCATAGCAATCGCTCCTGCTTCTCAAAGAGGATAAATAACCCAGTTATTTCTCTATGCAAAACACCAGTGCTCAGAGCCTGCGCTTGGGGGGAAAAAAAAAGAGTTTTCCCAGCTATAGGAAGAGGGTTTGGTGCTGTCCTTTGCAAAAATAATTTAAAAGCAAATTACCACCACTCCCTCAAACGTTTCCTCAGCCTCCTCTGTGAGTAGCGGGTGTATTAGGATCCCAGCGCGTGGGTTGATTTTTTTTTTTTTTTTTCCTAGCAGCAGAGCTGTTACAGCTGTGGAGGACGGAGGAGGTAGGTTGGGAAAAGGTGGATTTGCAGAAGGTTGTCACCGACTTACTGATGCCAGGAATAAAAGAGCAATTTCAAGCATGCACCGCAGATCCCTCCTGCAATTTTTGCCTTTTTTTGTTGTTTGGTTTGGTTTTTTTTGAAGCCAGCATTTCAGCCTGCTTCATTTATTCCTCGGTGGTTTGCCATCCTGCTAAAAAAAAAAATAAAAAAATTAAATTTTAAGAAGGGGTCAATAATGCATGCCCTCACAGACACCTCCACTCCCAGCCCCCGGCCGCAGCAGCAGCCCATCCAAAAATGAAACCCACCCGTCCAAACAAAACGAGGGGGGAAGCCTGCAAAAAGACAATGGGGCTGGGGTTTTGGTGGGGGTTTTTTTGTGGGTTTTTTAAATTGTTTTCCCCCCCTTCCCAGGGATGGACAGCATCCGGGCACCAAGTTTAAGCCTGGTGTGTGTGCAGGCACCCCGGGGAGGAGAGCCGGAGGGGACGGGAGGAGAGAGGAAGGGAAGGATGGAGGGGGAAAGGAAGGGGATGGGAAAAAAAAAAAAATAGCAGCCATTTTCTGCTCCTTCTCCTCATCCAAAGACCGAACCTCCCCGTTACCTGTGGTCTCCGGCTTGGGAGGTGCTGTCTGTAAAGCTCGGAGATGCCCCACACACACACTTTTCCCCCCCAGAAAGCCCCTTTTTCCCCAAAAAATTAATGGGGTAGGGGAGCTGCAAGGGGCTGTTTGTGGTATGTCCCCCCCGGAGATGCGAGGGCCACAGGGATAGGGTCAGCACGGTGCGGCGGCCGTGGCGTGACCAGGGAAGCTCGGTTGCTCTGCTATCCCGAGCAATAAGAGT